ATTAAAACACTAAGAGAGTGAATTTAAAATCCCTACGTGGTGATAAAACCATGACAACTATTGCCAACCTATAAGAAATATCATATTTCATCCTAGGTATATGTTACAAGAATCTTTTGTCTATTATTTGCTTGCATTTCAACCTATAATTGTTTTTATTCTTAAGTGTATGACTTTATAAAATTAAATTAATAAAATTATTACTTTTGAATACTTTGTTTCCATGGTAACGTAAGTAATAGTTGATTTACCAAACATGTTTATCATGCATTTAAGACATCAGGCCTTCAACTTTCAGAAACAGTCATTGCCACTTGTTTGCTTTGCTGCAAACGTTAACTGTGGGACTCTGAACATGTTGAAAAATGCCATTTTTCAAACTTTAGGACATGTTGCTATGGTAACCATGACACGTAGCAACCAGTTTTTGCCTGATTTGAGTTTACAGTATCAAAGACTTATCATAGAGAGTTTGGAGAAATTCTAAGACTATGCGTGCCACAGCTCCTATATAAAAGTTCCAGTCATTACAGAGAATTAAGAAATAAGGTATCATTTTTAAACATCTATCGGGATATAAATACGGGTTGGTCGCGAGATCAAATTCCATAAAGCCCGAATAAATGTTTTAAAATGATACCTTATTACTTATATTTACATTTGTGACTTATTCACATTATATATTAGCTTGATTATAACCTTTAAGGTCAAGATCTAGTAAATGACATCAGACTGTCTTTTTGGTGCTAGATCCAATATGACGTCATAATCAATTTCAATTTCTTTTTTCCCGAACTTTACGGCTCTAATAGAATTAGGTAGAAAATAAAGTATTTTCATGGAATTCAATTTGAAACATTGTGAAAAGTAATCCCGATACCTGTATTTAATTTAATATTATTTTAAAGAAGAGGCCAAGAACATACAAATTACCGTTTTCTGAGAGACTGTAGGCAATCTGGATATATTTCCTTTGTCTGATACGGAAAAAAACTCCTGTATTCATGACTGGTTTTCTTAATTTTTCATTGAAAATGACAGTTTAGAATATGATTTTTCGTCTTGTTTATCTACAAATTATGCCCCAAAACACCTTATTTGTCCAAGCTATAGTTATAAAGCATCATTAAAGGAATTCATTTCTCAAACTGGAGAAATCTGTAGGCACCTTTCATTTACTAGATCTTGACCTTAACGCGTGAAATGTTTTATTTTTTCAAACTCAACGGCATGAGTTTGATCTATTGATTGCGCGTCGACCCTTTATGTCGTCACTGAGAAATTACGTCGAACGTTCATGATGCGAGGAACCCGTGTTTATGCGGATATATATACGCGTTGCTTATAATAGTGTAATATAAAAGAACACATTTGCACATTTATAAATAATTTTAAAAATACGAACAAATAACGACAAAAGTGAAGTAAACAGGGCGCCCATTAAATACGCTTGCGATCGGTTGCGATAGATCACATTTGACTTAATTCAACTTGAAGACTTTTTAAATGAATTTTTCAAAAATTTAAGACATTTTTTAAATTACATGGGAGCCTCTATTTTTTTTTTTATTCATGTTACATTTCTTCGCGAAGTCTGCAGTCAAAAAATATTTGCTGCCACACTGTGTTACAAATCCTTCTGAAATCTACTCGTGCTCAAATATGTATAACAACTAAGGATTCGTAGTCTTTAAAAACAATGATAAATTTTAGTGATCATGGCAACACCATTCATCGTAATCAAATATTGATAAAAGAAAGACTAAAAAGGAATGTGTTCTTTGATGTAGTCTGCTTGAATGCCAAGTTTTCTTGTAATCCGCGAAAACTGTAGGGAAAATGAATTTTTTAAACAATTCGACAGATTCTTAGATCTTCTTTCAAAATCTGATTAAAATCAGATCCTTTAACCGCTCACAAAGATCGCTACACAATCGCGGATCTCTGGAATTTGCAGAGATATTAAAAGTAAATACTGAAGAAAAGAAAAAAAAATGACTTTGGACCCACCCACTCCTAGAAAACGTGGACCCCACCATCACAACCACCAAACAGGTTTTTTCCACGTTTGCGAAATGCATTTTACGTTGCTGCTTTTTTTTTTTTTTTTTTTTTTTTTTTTTTTTTTGGCTTGTCAAGAAATTTTCGGGGTTTAATATGTTTGGGAAGGGAATTTTAGGGTTTTTTTTTTTAATTGCTTGTCAAGGAATTTTGGGTTGGATTTGTTTTTTGGACTGGGATGGACCCCCCCCCCCCCTGGAAAAAATTCCTGGATCCGCGCCTGCTACACAAGGGTCTGGAAAAAAACATTGAGGGTCATTTCCTGGTGACCTTCCATTATGTTGTCAAGAATCTGCCAGTGTTTTAGATTTCAGCGAACGGATAATTGCAATTACTACTAGGCCTAGAATGATCAAACTTTGTCAGCTGATATATCTTGGGTAGAAGGTGTGTCGCACATTAAAAATAAGTCGCTGTGATCTTTGATTAAAATGATATGACAAAACCCTAGTGAGGGACTTTCACTTTAACGTCCAACTTCTAAAATCCCGATAAAGTATGAGCTCTCTGATTGGTTAAAAATTTAAAGAATTTTTAACAAGAGATGACCCTAAATGTTGTTTCTTACGATTCTTGAATAGCGATCTACAAAAATGGATAAAAGAATGCCGATTTTGATCAGATTCTTATTACAGTAACCATTGCAAAATAAAAAAAAAAGAGAAGATATTTAGAATGTCTTTTTGACCAACTTTACTGAAATCTACAGAAGCCGGTAGGTGCCAGGTAGAAAAATATTTTATCTGGCGGCCGCCACATAATTTCTGGCGGCCGCCAGATAAAATATTTTTTCTACCTGGCACCAACCGGCTTCCGTAGAAATCTGGTCAAAACATTAAAAGTAATATTCTGAAGTGTTTGTTGACAAGCAGAAAACAGACAGAGGGACTATGTACACTTCACCATCGCATAAACTCGATCTTCTTGTCTACGACAAGTAAACAAGAGGGCTACAGGTCACAACGCTTACTTAGTTTGAGTTACTTTTCTCTTATCCCGACAATAGTTTTTTTTGTTTTGTTTTATTTTATTTTTTCGTTTTTTTTTTTTTCATTTTTGTTTTCGTTTGTTTATTCGATTGCTTTCCATCTCCTCAAGAATGTTAAGATAACTCATGTTGGAATTCCAGGGTCAAATTATCTGTTGGAAGGCTGCAATTTTAGAACAGTACTCGGAATTTTTACCAATGAGAACACAGAGAAATCGCTTTCGTGTCAGCACGTTCTACAACACGGGACTTCGGTTTATACTGTCTTATGCCAATGATCGGTCTCCATATATTACAGTGGGATTCGAACCTACAAGGTAAGAATCGACTCTTCACTCTACGATTATAGAACAAACCAACCACTGCGCCAGACAGCTAGTGACTCCAACAATGAATTTGTAAACAAATGAAATTTTAGTATTCTTTTTTATGTATCGGGTTCCTGTGAAATAGGAAAGGGAAATATTTCCTGACTTTCTATTTTGATTTGCTAAAAATAACTTAAAATATGGTAAATGAGTTATTTGGTACCAAATGTTACATTTTAAACACGTTTTTCTAAAAAAAAAAAATTGCTATCTCTTGGCCCTCTCTCCACCATTTTAAAACGTTGTTTGTGTGTATTTGAATTCAAAGAAACGAGCAAACATTTAAAGAAAAAGGAGAGAAGACCCAGAAACCATAAAAGATAAACTTTTTCAAAAAAAAAAAAAATCAATGTGCACCATTGTCGTTTTAAAGTCCGTATTGTGTGTGTAACGAAGATAGCTCAGTAGTGCTATAGTATACAAGTGTTATCAGTTCAGAGTACCCAGGAATCGGAAAGTTTTTGGTTCGATCTTCGAACGGAGCGTATATTATTATTTTTCTTTTAAAAGAAAATAGTTGCACAGAGAGCGATAGCAATTCATTTAACCCACTAAGCGTCAAATCTTTACCCTTTATCTTACAGGTGTTTACAATTGATGCGAAATGTAACCTTGTCATCGTTGCTATTAAAATAAGCGGAACTACACATTACAATTTGACATGGTATGTAAATATTTTCCTATATGCGTTTGTAAAGTTTGTCCAGCCGTGGTCAGCCGATCAAATCGTAGAAATTTTGACTGTAAATGTTTCGTACACGATTCCTGCAGATCACACCCCAAATACGCCCATCTTCTTTACGAATTTTAAATATTTTTGCTCAGGAATTCTTTAATATCTGAGTAACCTTTATCAATACTGTTGACATACGTATGTTCCACGCTCTCCACCCTCTCCCTTCCCCTCGGGGGGGGGGGGGGGGGGGCAAGATATGAACAAACTCTCATACTAAAGATAGAAAGATACAAGTAATCTGTTCGACTTGTAATCTTCAATATTTATGATCGATTATGATTTCAACTTTTGTTGGGAGTGTTCAACATTACCATACCATTGTGTTCCATTATTTTATTCATCAATAAGTAAAGCCTATGGGGGTGGGGCTGGAGGGCATGATATGAACATACTATCAAACATAATAAAGATATATAATGTGTTATACTTGTAATCTTCAATAATTATGATTGAATATGATGTCAACTTTGCAACTGAGTGTTCAATACAATACATAACTATACTGTTGTTCTATTATTTTATTCAATAAGTAAAACATATTTCTACAACAAACCACTTGTCAACAAATAACAACACAGACATGTAAAGCAATAAATAAGCACTGAAAAAAAGCAATAGAATTTCTAAAATCCCGGACTAATTCAAATCATTTTTCCACAAATTCATTTCGGCAAAAAAAAACAAATAAAATTACTCTCACTCTAGTTGGAACATCCATTCACCTGAAACCTGATTTTTTAAAGGAACTGTGGTAGTATGGATGAACCGTCTATCCATTTTTTGCAGTGAAAATCTTGTAGCCTAAGTGTATTACAAATCAGTCAGAATTCTAAAGCGGTCTCGTCGTTTCAGTAGCACCCTTTGTAACAATAAAACTTTTTACCTAATTTGCTAACAACCTTACAATGCATTCCATAGACCATTCATTCCCACAAGAGTATGGCATTCAAAAATTAAGACAAAAATGGATGTTTCTCAGAAGATGCTGAACAGTGCTCTTTTGCTTTGATTCTTAAGTTGTCAATACTAGAGATCCTTAGGTCGAGAGATTCCTGATTCAAAGGTAAACGCCCTGGACCGGAACTAGGTATGCCGGATGAAGACGGACCGCTTCCACCGAAAAAAAGTCCAGGAAACCCAAAGGTATTAGAGGTTACTGGGTAATTTGGGAAGAGACCGCCAAAGGGAAATTTTCCGTGAAGTTGATGGGAAGCAAGATTTCCCATATTTTGTTGATACAGGGCTAACATGGGATTCATTCCTGTGAGATGGGACACTCGAAGAGACCAGAGATGTTCCGGAGAATTTGGGAAGTTGATTGTGTGTGGAATGTGCGGTGTAACGTCGCAGAGACTGGGCGTGGAATCTGACTGAAGGAAATTCGGACTCTCTCTCCCCATCGCCTTTTCCCGTTTTCTCCACTTGGCGCGTCTATTTTGAAACCATACCTACAAAGGAGAAAAAAAAGCTTCCTTTTTACAGGCAACAACAAGGCAGTAAAGTAATTTTTCTTCATTATTTGTATTTGTTGTTTTGTCTTCAGGGGTCTTAGAAATGTATTAGAAGAGAAAATTCAATCAGAAGAGTTTCCATTATATTATCAGAACCTGATAAAAAGTTAATTTAGGGCTGATTCAGGGAATCGAATCTTAATTACAGTCTATTTTAGCTCCAGGAATGCCTTAATGAAACCGTGGCGTTCAAAAATTAACATTTCGAGAACTTCTTCATGAAATCGTTTGTTTGTTGTTTATTGTAAAGTGCTTAAAGCAAACGTCTTGAAGGGAAGAAACGAGAAATAATCAAAGGAAAAAGAGACAATTTTCTTTTAATTCGCCAATTTTCTACCCGACTGCTCTTTGAACACTTCACACTATATTAGCTACTTGTGGGACGGCGAACGAAATTAATATCCTGTTTTTCTATTAGATATTAATTTGAAGATGAATTGTATAAAACTTACTTATGATAAAACATTGACATTTTATGAGCAATAGTACATGTAAATAAAGCATAGTATAAAACGTGATGTTCAAATAATTATACTTAAAAGTCAATTTCGCAGCATTTTTACCAATTAGAGTGTTTAAGAAAATTCCAGATAAAAAATTAATATAAAAATATATCTGTATGCTAATTAATTAAGCATTAAATTAAGAATACATTTGTGGTACAAAAAAAAAACAAATTTGCGACGCAGCCATCTTTTTATTTGTTGGCAGACTGTAGAAATGTCTGGGAAAATAATTATTTTCTTTCATGTTTATTATCAAGTAAATGCTAAATATTGAGTACGTGTATGTTGGAAAAACTTGCCCCTTATGTGGCATAGTTATGAATGTTTTCCTTTCACTCCCCCAAGCAATTTATCTCCAGTAACTGAGTGGGGAGTGCATTTACATAGAATATATATATATATATATATATATATATATATATATATATATATATATATATATATATATATATATATATATATAGTGTTGAAAGTTTAACTGTAAAGGCAGTCAAATTACACAATTTATTTCTTATATGTTGAAAAAATAAAGAATTAGTATATTTGTTCTCCATATCATTCAAAGGTAGCCACTGACTGACATCCATATCACAGATAAATATTAAAATGGTCTTTATTTTTATAAATGAAATGGGTGCTTTTGTCTTGTCTTGTGAAAAAAGAACTTGTTAACTGTATTTCCCTGACAAATAAAGTAAAGTATCATTGGCCAGTCGAATGTTTTCTTTAAGTAAACCTCTGTGACATTGCAATGGCACATGTATTACAAATCTATCGATAGTTTGGAATTTTTTATCCTTGTGGTTTTTTTTCGTCTAATCGAACTATCAAACAATGAAGTAGACTGTATATTCCACATCAGATCAGGAAAATGAGGTAAATCTTGCCGATTTTAAATGACATAGAATCCAAACTATGGAAATGTCGAACAGACGTAAGCAGACATTTTTTCAGAATGTTTCTTAATTTTTCAGTTTGTGATGCTCGAAAAAATGCTTGTTAAGTACGATGTAAACATGCAGTTTACTTACATCTTTATTTTTTTTTTACTATTTGTTTATTTTCAAAAGAAGACCAGTACACGTCCTTGATAGAAAAAGAATTGCTGGTACTGTTTTACGAATAATTAAAGAAGGCAATCTTCGGCAATCAAGATGACAAAAAAGTTTGAAACTGCAAAAATAGGATTGATTAATCAAACAACTAATATGGTCATGGCGTTTCTTAACGTTTATGAATTTGCGCAGGGGTGGCATTGCTTTTTAGAAACATCTTTTTTTCAAAATTATTCTGCAAAGTTCACAGCACGATTAAATCTATATTATATAAATTTACAAAAAAGTGGTGAAATAGAGATGACGTGATAATTTTACCAATCATTTATATATTATTTGAAAAGTAAACAAAACGGTAACAAATTGCACGCAGGCACCCACGCAATTTATTTCACAAGGGTCTATTTAGGAAGATTGGGAAAATGTTTTGATGTGTATAGCGTCAAGGTTGTTTCATTTTGAACGCTACAATATTCAAGTAATCCTAACGTAATTATAACACCATACCCGTCCTACTACAAATCCTATTGTCACCCGTCTACCCCATTTCGACGGTATCTATGTTATTTGGACGGCAGGGGGAGACTCCGGTCTTTTTGGAATCAGGTGTGACACGGCTAATTGTAATCTCTTTTTAAAAGTTTTATCCAATCTCGTTTCATTACTCTCTTTAAGAGGACTCCATGCACAGCATCCTCTCACCAGGGTCTTACATGAAGATTTAATCAAACAAATAAACGCTTGAAACAGATAATGAATGACTGAAATTATACTTCTCGACATGAACAGGATAATCAGATAACAATAGACAGGGGACAAAAGATCGCTGTAATTCCAGGCATTCTTATTCTATGTCTTTTGTCCGCTTAGTGTCTTTGGTTGTGGAAAAATATTTGTCATTTTTTCACCAGTTAACTGTTTTAATGAAAAAGGGAACTCACATCCTGTGGTTTTACCTCGCGGGATATTCGAGTTTGTTCTGCATTATAGCTATTTTCTACGGGCACACGTGGAGAAAATTCTAATCTGATCCGATTTAATCCTATTCGGAGTATTTATGACTAAATCAGATTCAAGAATTAAAATAACAAATTTTTTTTAAAAAATCCAAGACAAAATGCCTCTTCTTTAAAGCATGCATTGGGAAAAGGACGCGGCTACAATTCTATACAACGTGTATAATATAAAGCATTATTGTCTAATTATCGTGGCTGCATTACAAGATAAAGAAATTTCACTTTAAGGTGCTAAATGACAAACAGATAAAGGGATATAAAGAAAAACATCCGTGTCATCGAGTCAGTATTAAACAGCGAAAAGTAAATATCGATAAGAATCGCACTAAATCTAACTTTATCTGATTACAACTCTTATATAGAACAACGATTAGTTTATGATCATATTCATTCCAGTAAGAAGGAAAATATTTAATAAACAAACACAGACAGGATTTAATTGCCATATGGCTGTGATATTTCTGGTTCATCTGGTCAGTTTGAATTTAATGTCTTTTGCATCAGTCAGGAGGCAATGAAATGACAAGGCAGTCTTTTTTTTCTTTTTTTGTCCAGGGTTTTTAATAAACTTAACCATGGAAGCAAACTAATTTTTAGAATGTAATTATTTTCTAATAAGTAACTTTGTACATTTTATCAATTTTGAATCATTTTTACCGCTTTTTAGGAATTTTAATGTTGTTGATTGAATTATTAACTTGTCGTTACTACGCGAAATCTTTAACATTCAACTACGCAATTCTTTCAAATTTATGCAACATGTATTTAAGAAAATTGACACCAGTATAAGTATTTTATTAATTTACCGACAAATTCTAAATGTCATTTTCCTTAAGTGTTAAACTGCGCGGGGTGTAAGTGGTAAATATAGTGTGAACTTTCATTTGATTCATCAGTTGTGCGTTAATTTTAAAGAAAAAATATTTTATTGAATGACAAACTTCCTGTATTTGCGACTCGCTGAGATTGAGGAGACTGAGGCTCAATAATTATCTATCGGATGTAGAATAATTTATTCTAATGAATGACGCATTCTCAAAGTAATTTACCTGCACTCGCGCCTCACTGAGATCAAGCCTCATGGCGAGTTCCTCTCTAGTAAACACATCCGGGTACTGAGTCTTCTCGAAGGCGCGTTCGAGTTGATGAAGCTGGTAAGTAGTAAATGTCGTCCGACTTCGACGAATTTTCCGGGGCTTGGAGGAGAAGGATTCATCGGAGGCGTCATCACCTTTGTCCGATGAAGTGTTAAGCGAGGAAACGTCTGTTCCCTCCAAGAATCTCTTTTCCTGACCAAATTCTTCTGGCGTGGCACAGGGCGAAACTGAAGTATCGCTCCTACAATCATCCCCGGGACTTGGAGAAGACTGGGATCGAGGCTTTCCTGAAAACGTAAATAAAATGCAAATTCTTGCTTTCTAAACAGGTCCGTAGCAACGGTTTCAAAAGTGGGGAGGCCAACCTCCCCAAAAATCTGACAGGCAAAAAAAAAAAAAAAAAAAAAAAAATCTGACAAGGGAAAAAATCCTAAACTGTCCAAATTCTGGAATTTGCCAGTGCTCGATCTTACAGCAACAAGAAGGGGGAGGCAACCAGTACCGAATGAATATTTACTATAGCAAAATACTATACTCAGAAAAGGGGGGCTCCCGCCCCCCCCCCCGCCCCTCGCATTCTACGGGCTTGCTAAAAGAGTAAACAAAAAACAATAAGGACGAAATCCTGGTTTATTTTTTCGTTAAAAATTGTAAATTGGCGGTAGATACAAAAGTTACAATAATATAACATATTTTGTGTATATATTATTCAGCTATTTCTATTAGTAGATGATCAGATTTGCTACATAAAGAACTCTTTAGCTTTCAGACATTCCTTTTGTATGTAATGTCATTGGCATATAGAACTAAATACATGTAGATTGCTCAAGAAAAAGTGAAAAAGAAAAAAGTTATAGATCTTCATGGCAACAACAACAGCAAAATTGTATGACTTTTTATTTTAAGGAATAATAAAAATAAATATATAATTATTGATTTATTTTACTTATCAAAATATGAATAATAAATGTGAAATATATTTTCGGATTAAAACGTATAAAAAATTTGATGGTTGATAGAATTAACATGACATCATAATTAATATTCCAAACAGTTCTAAGAAACTATCAATTAATTCAAGAGACTGAATAATTCAGTTTAATATAAAAGAGGGGGGATATAGACATCTCAAATAAATTTAATTTTTACACTGGCAACAAGTATGAGGAATTATGAAATTGGAACGAATTAAAGAAAGTCGAAATTTTCCTGAGTTTATAAGTTTATAATTTTCCATAATTATCCTTTTTGATCCTGGACTATGCAGGGAAAAAAAAATTTTAAACCATGCATGAACTTCAAAATTCTTAGTGTTCGTTATATTTTAAAATGGCTAGTTTACTCAGGCTGATCTGTGCTTGTAAGCAAGGAGCATTACATTAACCTGTTAAATGTTTAAAAATTCGGATCCTTTACCAGGAAATAACATAAAAAAAACTTCATAGATGTGAAAGAGACTTTGTTCTTTAAAGGTCATGGGTAAGTCATATCTACAACATTTTCGAACTGATTTTATAATTTTGTCATTCTATATTGTTTTATGGGGAGAAAATACTTGAAAAAATTAACAGCTTTTCCTGTAAAAATTAAGATTTGATATTTCTTATCGAAGTTTCAAAAAAAAAATCTACATTTAAGACAAAAGATTACAGAGTAATGAGGGTTTTTCGTAATAACACTTCCTTTTTAAAGTGCATAGTGATTTTTTTTTTTTTTTCGTTTTATATAAAAAATAAATTTAGTTTTGTTAATTTAGGTTGGAACTCTTGGATTATTTGCAATGGCTTATATTTCTTCTTACACAATTATACCTTATGCTGTCTTCAGTTTAATCTTATTTTTTGTCTTCTAAAGTTATAAGTAATTATCTGTATATAACAAGTCTGAGTGTGTGCAATTTTTCTTTAGATTTCAGATTTCATAGACTCTCAAAAACACACAGGGGGAAAAAGTTCAAGGGGGGGTTGCTTTATCAAGACATTGATAACGTTACCAAAAATTATACTACGATCAGCCGCCTCCCCCTTCCAATTTTGTATTATATATGTGATGAAAAAAAATCATTTCTTCAATATATAATATTTATGTTAAAATACAGATATTTAGAATTTGGTCTGTACTCACCGTCAGGGCCGCTTGTAATGGTGGAAACCTCTGTATCCTCGTCTTCTAGAGAACCCTTTCTAAGAATACTGTCCATGCTGAAAGATACAGCTGGTTTGTTGGCCACACTACCGGTCGTAAGGTCCATTTCTGTTTAATTTGTCTTCTTCGAATGTTACCTTTTCTCAAGTTGTCTGTCTTTAACTTATATTAAGCAGCTTTATCTGATGGTAGTCCACGTTTCCTCACCAACTTTATTCTGTAATTATTTAATCACCAATGAAATGATAAAACTGACGCTAATTATCTAATATCGATAGATTTTTTTTCTAAAATGATCGCTTTTCTGATTGGTCGGTTGACACTCGAGAGAACCTGTTTGTTTTCACTGGGAGTAACCGCGTAAGCTTGCAACAATGTAATCATATCATATTCTACCATTCTAAACAGGGGGCGTGTCCTTGGTCTTTATCAACAAATGAGGGAACGAATAGGCGCCTTTCGCATAATGTCTGCATTTGCCATATTATTATTAGTTTAACGAGAATTGCATTGAGAAGCTTCTTTTCAAAGAGATTTTACTCGCTAATCATCGTTCTGATTGAGCGATGTTTTTAGTTGAGAAAAATAATTATTGATATTTTGAACTTAGCCGTTTTACTGACACCAAATTGATAAAACTGTGTTTGGAACATCTTGTAAAGATAAAAATTGCACTTAAAGTCACCTGTATTTCCTTTATTTTATTTCATGGTTGCAGAACGTCTAAAAAATGTTGATTCCTTTCTGATGGAATTTTCAATTATTTCATTTCACAAGGACAGGGGTAGAGAGATTCAAAAGAACAAGCAAAATACAAGTATTTTTCAAATAATAACTTTCCGAATTCCACCACTTTTTTATTGTTTAAATTGGGATTCCCTTTCTACCGATAGACAACGAGCAAAACACACTCTAATTAAATTTAAAAAAAATGTTTTCAAATGACGTTGAAATGTGGCGAAAATTAAGAGACCATGCGGAATATTTAATTTGATAGAAATTTTGTACTTGTATAATGGAAATAGAATAAGTTAGACATCCTTGTCTATTGTTGTTAATATAATTAACATGTATATATTGAAAGACAGGTGAATCTTTTGTAATCGAATCAATAATCAGGTATCATATTCTTTTCTTATTGTCATACTTAGCCGAGAATCAATAAACACAAATCAAAAATTAACACCCCGCAGAATAGACAACGTCGGCAGTCACACCTTCTTATTTACCTAATTGATAGACAACAAAACCTAAGTGTCAGCGGCTAAATGCCAAAAATATACCATAAGTTCAAACACGAAAAAAGTCAACAGTTTTAGAAAAGAACAACCCCGTGGTGCACGTTACTTGCAAATTACTTTATTATGAAATAATTTACCTTTAATTATTGCTATATTCAAATACTTGACCACTCGTTGATTTTCAATCTAAGTTTGGTCGAAAGTTTGTCGCGCCTGATGTCAAATAAACAAAGACCATCGTTAGTGTCACATAGGGCTTACAGCCTGACCAATCGTCTTATTGCAATCGGATCGTACCGTTGTTTTGTAATCATCTTTGATTAATTACATAGACTTAAACAAAAGACTTTATAATATTCGTACACGAGGATAGATGTGTGTATTAGATTTAAGTTCTAGTGTCAGCATATTCAAATTGCAAAAAGAAAAAAAAGATAATAATGTTCAGATTAAACAACACTGAATCAATTGATATATCTATTTTGATATTAACTTAATATCAAAATAGATATTTCAATTGATTCAGTGTTGTTTAATTTGAATATTATTATCTTTTTTCTTTTTCCTAATTAAGTAACTCTTAAACACTTTTTCTTATTCGTGCACATTTTATCTGTACATTTTTTTTTTTTTTTTTTTTTTTTTTTTGTAAACTTAGGGAGAAGTTTTTGTATTTTGTGTTTTTACATGTAAATTTTTGATAAATTAAAGGGGAATACATAGATGCTAATAAATAAGATATTGGAGGGATAAAGAAATGCAAATTGATTTTTTTTAAATTAAGATACAAGCTTTTGATTATGCTGAAAACTTTTTTCAACAGTTTTGGACTTAATCGAAAAGATCCACACATACATGTATGTATTTAGACTGAAAATTTTTTATCGATCCAGGAAATATATTAACATGATTTTAAAGGGTTTTATTTAGTTTAAAACATCAAAAATGAGGATATAAAAGAATTAAAATTTATTAGCTGGGTTACAGGACATTTGGAAAATTTCACTCAAATTATTCAAATTTGCGACTCCTTGAATCATAGATATGAAGTCATACCAAAATAGATGAAAAGGTGTTAAACCGAGATAATATACAATATTATAATTATTATTTATCATATACTTAATAGTAAATACACCGATTCTGCACTGTGCGAATCGGGTGACGTCACAATACTCCATATCAAGGGCCGGTCCGAAAATCCATATCACGTATCGGACCGGCGTGCAAAAGTCCATATCAAACCGGAAGATTAAAAGTTAAGTAACTTGATTTTATTTAAATATACACGTAAATTATTCTTTACTAACATTTGTGGACTTAAATTTGTTTTCAAAGACCTAAAATTGACTCTATTAGATTTTAAAGGAAGGTCATAAAAATGCACGAAACATTCTTCAATGACTTTATGTGGACTATTAAGTATTTTAAATAAAAACAAAATACCTCATACTTCGGCCCTCGGAATGATTTGGGACCACTCGGACTTATCTGACCTATCATATAGATTTTAGAATGTAATATTCTCTATTTATTAATTTCATCAGTTTATGTCATTTCAGTTAATGTTCAAATCTATTTAAATGAAAGACAACATTTTTTAAAGCAAATTTAAAAAAAATGCTATTATATTTAAAAAGAATTACTTGCAATTTATAACCGAAAAGCCAATGTCTTCTAATCAAAACATTACAGATCATTGGGTAATGTATATAGGGGAATGAATTTTTATGCCTTAAATATTATTTTTCATACATGTAAGAAATTGCGACACAAAGCACGTAGGATAACTTGGGATGAGACAACCTCGCACAGCTAGCTGAACCGCAGTAAATCATAATACCTTGTTTTATTGGATGTCAATCCTTATCACGTATACCAATAATTAAAAATTGACATGTACTGTGGGATACATTCTTATTGTATATTTTAAATAGCATATACGATATCATATTCGATTAGTCGCCCACGTGGTGCAGTGGTTAGAGCGTCTGCTCTAGAGTCCGAATTAAGGAGTTGATCCTTACGTCGCGGGTTCGAATCCACTGCGGGACGTGGAGACCGGTCCTTCGGATGAGACCGTATAAACCGAGATCCCAAGTCCAGTAGGTGTTGGCGCGAAAAAGATCCTTCGTTGCTCAGTGGTCCTGAGTGCCGAGTATAGGTATAAAGCAGCCCTCCAAGGGCAAGTGGTGGCGTCTCCATATGAGTGAAAAATTCTCGAGAGGGACGTTAAACAATAAATAAACAATAAACCGACAAGCATATACGATTATAGCGAATTTATGTTGCAAGTGAAATACAAATATGTATTGATTTTGGGAACTTTGAATAGTATCAGTTTTCGCTTTTTGAATTCAACATTTCCGAATCAGTGTAAAAAGGGAGTACAATATCAATTAGAACATTCAAAATATTATTATTTTGTATTTAAATAATAATATGAAATTATGATTTTACATATTGACTCCATATTTTTATCAGGAAATATGAAGAAAAAAAATAATAAAATTGCTAACAATAAGAAAAGGATATAATGGAATCGCTAAGTTGAATTCCCGGTACATTTATTTCTTCTTGTTTTAAATCTTTTAATATCCTTAATATTTGCTAAGAAGTTTTGCCATATATTCCTTAAAAGCACGAACGACACGAGCATTGCGCTTGAGAAAACCGTCTATGAGACAGTAATTCTATTAGACAGAATATTTATCCATTAAGAAATGATATTATCGCATGCTAGGCGACGATTAAACGGCAGAAGGACCGGCATCCGTTTTATCCGTACCGGAAGTTCCAAGACGTGGTTTAAAATCAACGTGACTGGAACTTTAGACACTGTTGCGTGCATTGGGATTTTATTAAACAATTAATTGAAATCACAAGAGGACCTGAATGGGTTAAACGAACCATACATAGACTAAATGAACTGATTGTATTTTTGTTGGATTTAAAACAATGTCTTCTAGTTGACCGAACATTCTATTTCATACACAAATTATCAGATATCCTTCTCTTCTTAGAACAAAAATTATCCAATACTCTGTATGAAGGATGACGCTAAAAGGGATAAAAACGAAGAAATCTAACTGATAGTAAACTTTTTTTTAAATTCAATTTGGAAAAAATTATAAAGTATTTCAATATTATTTTTCTAAAACGGTTATCAGCCTTCTTCAATTAATATAAGGAATATTACATTACACACTTGCAACAAGGAAAGTAATAAATAAGTTGATTGTTAGGAATAATATTTATGAAAATTGTAATTATTTATTCTGTGCAAATACACATACTCCAGTTATGTTCGAACACTTGATTTTTCATTATATAATCGACCACCTGGTTTTATATGATATAGATCAACCATGGCGTTCCAGAGTATCTAATATAACAATCAAACAGACATAAGGCATTGTACAATGTATGTCGTTGTAAAAATACACTGTAGATTAAACAAAAAAAAAACCTATATATATATACTTTTTGTTTTTCCGAATTCTTAAATGATTGGGGAAAAAATAATTAAGAGATTGTTACGTTTCGTTTTGAAATGACAGTACAGCTACTATATGCCATAATCGACATTTTTTAAGGGGAAAAAATCTTGCTGTATATCATTAATAATTCATTTGAATTGAAGGAAGACAAAGTATTTGTTTTGAAAGTAAAAAAAAATAAATCTACAGAAAATAACCCCTTAATATAGCCTCTACAAAGAATAAAGTAATGTATTTGCCTTCGACAAGACATTTTAAGGATTGATTTATCTTGGATGAGAAATTATTAGTTGTTTTACAGGCCGGCTATTTTACTTCCATTTGATATGATTACCCCTAATGGACGATCAACAGCCTCACAATTA